TCAATTGTAAAAACATTCGATGGTTTTTAACTCGAGGCTCGTGTTTCTCTCGTAGTGTCTGCGACGTTGTGAGTCGGGGTCGCGGCGTTTTAGCGCAGGTCACCTGCTGCACCGTGCTAGGCATTGTGGGCCCGCGCTTCGTTGCTCGCTGAATATTTTCCAGGGCCGCCGGCGGGAGGCGAGTTAGCGGTAGAGTAGCAGCCACAGCCATCGCCAGAGGCCTCGCTCGATGTGGTGTGCCGGGTGCGGAAATATTGTACGGGCGCGGACAGAGCCAGATTTAGATCCCTGACCGTGGGTCAGTCGCCCCCCCCCCTCGGCCGCCCGTTCCATCGACCCCCCCCCCCCACTCGGAGGGCCGCGTTCGCATTGGTGTGCGACACGTGACCGGCGCCCCGGGGCGACCGGCGATGGTGACTGTGATGACGTTGAAGGGGAACTTTGGGCGAAGCCGTTATCAACGTTTAAGAAGAAGGGGCCGTCCATAAATGACGTCACGCACCTGGGGGGGGGGGGGGGTCAGACATTTGTGACGATGTGTGACGAGGGGGGAGGGGGGTGTTTGAGAAATGTGACGTCACATCAAAATGCGCAACTTTAAATAAGTATAGACAACACGTTCTACTTAATTAAATAGACTTTCTAATAAATGTTTTCTCCTACAACATCAGAGTGCAGCGCCATATTAAATACGCACTACAATGACAATAGTTTAAAGCGTTTTGAAGCATATTTTATTGGGGGGGGAGGGCAGAGCTTTGTGACGTCATATTTGAGGGGGGGTCTGACTTTTTGTGACGCCGTGTGACGAGGGGGGGGGGGTCTAAAATCGTCCAAAATCGCGTGACGTCATTTATGGACGGCCCCGAAGAGGTTTCATCGACAACAGCAAGTCGCTGTCGTGGCTACTGGGGAGAGGAGGAGGAGCGGGCGGGCGAGGGGGGGGGGTCAGTATCGACGTATCGATCCGTCACAGATTAATATTCTCACAGATCACGATCATGGATGATGATGTTTGTGTATCGTGTGCGTGTCACTCAAGTCACAATGGGGGCTTCGCGACCGACCCGTGCAGCCACTAGAGGCGCTATAATTCATTCATTCCAAAATCGTTTTTTTTAAGCACAATTCGGTAATCATCGATCGAAATTGCAGTTACTTAGACAAGTGAGGATAACCTCGCCAAAAATAGACAAATTGGTTTAAAAAAATTGACGTTTCTTATTCGTGCGTTTATTTCTCAGAGCCATGTTGGGCGAGGCAAGGGGGGAGGGGGGGTTGTACACTCCTCGGTTGAGACAACCTTCAACAAGGGGGGGAGGGGGGCGGTGCAGTCGTAGCCAACAGGAGATTGAGAACCACTGGGTCTGTGCAATGCGGCGGTCACGTGGCAAGGCGAATGGACGCGAGTCGTGGCTAGTTGTGAGCGCCAATCAACAGCGGAATTCCAAGTCGCGTTCGCCCTGATGCACGAATTCTTCCCTTGTCGTATGGGGTGGTGGGGGGTGTGGGTTTCTCCTAATTTCTCTCTCTCGAGAGAGAGAGTGTCGGATTTGAATGACCAAATGTATATCTAAATCAGCTCAAGCCCTCCCGCAAATCACGTGACTCACATGTGCCCCCCCACCTCGCATCTGAATCCCCCCTCTTCCCTACCGCCCCCTGTGAAAACAGACTTGCGAGCTCACGTCTTACCCCCCCCACCCCACCCTCGTTCCTCCCCTCTCATCATTACCACAATCTCATCCCCCACATCTTCGTCATTCATTCTCCCCCTCCTCCCCTTCCTGCCCCGCCGCTCATTTCATTCATCAGGTCATTAGTTTATTAGGTCATTAGGTCATTCATTCGTCAAGCGAAGCCAGTGAAGGAACCTTTGCGACTGCATTCACACAAACTGCTCTTGCTGCAATCCCAGTCGCTCCTTCTCTGGTCACATGTATCTGTCCCCTTCCCACATTTTCCTCTTATTTCCCATTCTTTCCCGTGCTCTATGCACGAATCCCATTCCTCTATAATCCCCGTGCATTATATCATTGGCTGCACTCCCCGCCCTGTGGTGTGCCATTGGTGCAAAGTTTTACATGCGTCTAGAACACTTAACGCCACGTGAAAAAACTAAAATGAACGTCTCGTCTGAGTAAGTCGCTGTATTGCAGCTATGAGTATAGGCGTAGGCCGTGTGGACCTCTCACTTTGCTTCATATGCTGGGTTGAAGTTTCGTTTGCCGTTGTACCCTTTATTTAACCACGAGATGAAATAAACCCGTTGAGACCCGTGACACAGCATTGCCTCTTGTTTCAAACTATTACAATTGTTTATTTTACCAGGTAAGTCCCAACTGAGCTAAAATACAGCTCTTTCTTTAGAAGCGACCTGGCCACAAATGATTGGCTCAACAAAGTTGCTTATCGCGTGGAAATGTATAGCAGCCAAAGACTCTAAGCGCGTGATGTTGATTAAAAATGCGGAGGGAAAAAACCAGGGGATCCGGAGAAAAATCCGCGCGACCAAGGGGGGAGAGAGACACACACAAACTCCAAATACACAGCAGCAGCAGGCGTCAAATTCGAGATCGAACCCACGACCTCCTGTATACCAGGCGAGGTAGTTAACATCTCCTAGCCACCGTGATGATGATGAGAGAGGGACACACAAACTCCAAATACACAGCAGCAGCAGGCGTCAAAGTCGAGATCGAACCCACGACCTCCTGTATACCAGGCGAGGTAGGTAACATCTCCTAGCCATCGTGGCACCCTAAAAAAAGCGTAATAATGATAAAAAAAATGCAATTTACAGGCCGAGTGATTCCAGAAACGATGCTTTTTCCAAGAGGGCAGCGTGCATCTGAGTTTTCGAGGATCGGATCTCGACATAAGCCACATAGCTGTGGCAACTCACGGAAAATGTCAGCAGGTTTTACTTTTTGGTATTTTTACGTAGCCAGACAAAGGCACCATAATTAATTACCGGTGCCCATCTATATTGGCGGTCCTGACTTAGTGGTGGAAATTCCACATTCATATGGCATGGGTCAGTCTGTCCGTCAGTGCTACCCACTGTTGCTTTTCTCCAGTGCTACTTATTTGATCCACCCGGTCGAGATAATGATGATGCTTCTTCTTCTTGGTTCTTTCAGTAAAGTCACGTAGAAGGAAAATAATAAAATAATAAAACATAATAAAATAATTCTCACGACGTTTCGGCCACAACGCAAGCAGCCGTCTTCAGGTGGAGAACAGGTCGAAACGTCGTGAGAATTATTTTATTATGTTTTATTATTATTATTTTCCTTCTACGTGACTTTACCGAAAGAACCAAGAAGATGAATCCCTGCAGTCACGAAAGCTTTAAATCGAGATTTTGATGCTGTTGGTGATAATGAAGGTGATGATGCAATCTCGGCATGCGAGGCGGTCCGGAGATGACCGTCTAGCAATGGAGTCTTGAGTTGTCGCCCCTTCGAAGTGGTTATTGCTCCAGGTTTCTCCGGTTTCCTCCGACACAAAGCCAACCTCTCATTAATGCCATTGTCCAAACATCCCAATGCAGCGGCACCCTCCTGACAACGAGTCTCGAGGTTCGGAGACGCTTCACTCTTACAATAACAATTTATAGAACTTTATCGTATGTGTGTGTGTATGTTGAACTTCTTTTGCACCGGACGTAGCCAAACGTGCTAATCGGAGGTGCGGGGGAAGGACAACAAACCAAACACAAAACGCAATTCTAAAGAAATTTGTTTCAAATCTAGATTTAAAAGTGCATAGCTACAGTGGCTTCCGAATATTGGAAGGAAGAGCGTTCCAGACGGCCGCAGAAGCGCATCTGAAATCACGCGATGCGGTGACCGCCTTTGTTCGATGGTTAGCCAAAAGAACTGCGAGGTTGACCGGAGTTCGCGTGATGGTTTATACTCCTTGACGAGATCAGAAAGGTATTGTGGGTCATTTGTGGCAAGCACTTTGTGTGGTGTGAATGAGTGCAACCTTATCATGTATTCGTTCGGTAACCGGAAGCCAACGCAGCTCGGTGAGCACTGGTCGGACATGGTCGGATCTCGCACTCCCCGTCACGACACGTGCCAGAGAATTTTGAACACGCTGCTGCAGCTTGGTAATGGTTGTTTTTTTTGGCCAGACGTCTCGCTGCTGGATGAAGACCTCAACCACGGCGTGTCGGTCATGGGGATTTGTTTACCCAAAAACCTCCACCACGCTGGTGAGTGCGATTTGGTGAAGAGAGGGAACCCAGAACCGGTACCACGTGAAAGCCACGTGGCCGCCACGTGTTTAACATGTTCAGCGCACTCCGATAACTGGGAAGTCGCGGATTACAGGAGTTGCTGCGATTATAGGAGGGGGGCGAAGCGGAAACGACGGGGAGGGGCGGGAAGGGGCGGGGCGAGAAAGGGGGCGGGGCTGGAACCCACGCGCGTGCGCGTGTGGGGAGGTAGTGGGGCGGGGGTCAGTGGAGCGGGGGGGCAGTGGGGGGTCAGTGGGGCGGGGGGGGGCAGTGGGGCGGGGGGGGCAGTTGGGCGGTGGGGGGCAGTGGGGTGGGGGGCAGTGGGGCGGGGGGGGGGGCAGTGGGACGGGGGGCAGTGGGACGGGGGGGTGGGCAGTGGGGTGGGGGGGCAGTGGGGCGGGGGGGCAGTGGGGGTCAGTGGGGCGGGGGGGAGCAGTGGGGTGGGGGGGCAGTTGGGCGGTGGGGGGAGCAGTGGGGTGGGGGGGCAGTGGGGCGGGGGGGCAGTGGGGGGACCAGTGGGGTGGGGGGAGCAGTGGGGTGGGGGGGGCAGTTGGGCGGTGGGGGGGCAGTTGGGCGGTGGGGGGGCAGTGGGGTGGGGGGGGCAGTTGGGCAGGGCAGTTGGGCGGGGGGGGGGGGGCAGTGGGGGGGCAGTGGGGCGGGGGGGGGCAGTGGGGCAGTGGGGTGGGGGGCAGTTGGGCGGGGGAGGGGCAGTGGGGCGGGGGGTAAACCGCGCGCTCCGCCCTCACGCTCCGATTGGCCGCGCGCGACCTCTCGCCACGTGACGGAGCGCGGGCCAATCGGCGCGTCCGGCGAGCAGCGCGCGACCATGGCGGCGTCGTCGTCTCCCGCCAGCGGCGACGCGGAGTCGCTGGGCGCCATGGTGGGCGACTTCTGCGCGATCACCGGTAACGGAATCCCATCGCTCGCCGACACCCAACATCGCTTATCGTCTCTGGTCGTAGTCTTTTTAAAAATAATCAGCATAGCGATTGAAGTCGAACGGTAGCATCTTTGTTTATTTTCGAAATATTTAAATTTTTTTTTACCTCAGGCCTCTGCTACTCCGACCGTGGTGGCGTAATCAACGTCTTTGGTGGTGGCGGTTGTTGTTGTTGCTGCTGTTGTTGCTGTCGTTGTACACACAATGTAACAGTGATAGTTGTTTCGGGACTATCGTTCAAGGTGTTATTTATTCGCGGCACTGACGGTGATTAAGTTTTGAGAAGAGTTGATGTCAATGTTGTTGATGTGTCAGGCGGGGGTTGCGAATGTTGACTTGATCAGTCAAAGTATTTAATAATAATTTTTACGATAGGCTTATAATGATCAGCTTGCTCGTTTCTGTCAGATATATCTAACATTTATGCAGGCATTATGTTTAGCATTGTAGCCTACGATAGATATGTATGCGTGTGTATTTAGATTTGGTTGTGTGGCAAGTGCAGAATTTAGATTTAAGTTTTCGTAACAATATTTTTTACGTGGATTTTATAAGCTCATTATTTTTCGTAATTACTTATGAATGATAACTTTTAAGTACTGATAAAACCTCCAGTCCAAACCATCCACAAATGTTTAAAGTTAACAATATGAAGCAGTAATCTCGATGGTGCAGATAAAACGAGCACCACTTTACAGGAAGTCGACGGTGGTCGTCTCTTGAATGTACGAGGCCCGGGCATGGAAATGTGGAATGGCGTTTCTGGCAAAATGCTGTTTGTTTACGCAGTAAAAGTTTGACCTTAAATAATTAAGTATCAGAGCCTGGCATATTGTTAAGAATTCACACCGACTATCATCTTCATTCCTCTTGCTAGGTCAGTAAAATAAGTACTACTTTGTGGATTTATACAACACTGCAAGGACAGCAACTATCTTTGCAATTAAGCAAGAATGTGTAATTTTCAACAACTGGTTCGAAATCAGCAATGGTTAATCATATACGATGATGAGACCCTGTGTAGAATGTATACCCCCACCGTGCATAACAGGTGCTATAGGCTGGTGGGGGGACATGTGGTGGGCAGCAGAGTTCAGTGTGCCTCCCCGCTCTTACCACCCCACATTTGCCCAGCGTGGTGGAATATTGTGCTCATCCAGCAGTGGATTGATGGCTCATGGAAATCAAGCATGGTTGAGATTCTGATTGATTATGAATGACTGACCTCTGGCACAGGAATGTGGAATTTGCACCACATGGTTGGAAAGCAGTCAATATTATTATCAATCCCCTGCTGGGTGACTGCCACACAGGTCAGTTTGGCAGAAATTAAGCACTCACCTCTGTTTAGTGAGAAACCATAAAACTTACTTAAATACAGGAGAACCTTGCATGTGCAACTTGCCGGGGGGACATGTATTGGCAGGTAATTGAAAAGGTTAGATGTGTGAACAATCTGATAATTATAGAATATTACAATTAAACACGAGGCAAATACTGCACTGGTGGATATTTAATTGATGAATGCAGATATGTGATGGATTGGATATGCAACTGAATGTACAGTACAGAAATCTAAACTGTGTTCGCACTCTACATAATAAATGTTTAACATTTATTTTATTCTGAACGATTTTGTTCTTGCACGTTTACTCGGCACTTGATTTCGATTTCCGGCCACAGCTAACATCAGTGGCGAGTGATATCTGAACTAGTCTTGAAAATCCCTTTCACCAACTATAATGACCGACACGGCGATGTATGGTCAAACAACGGCAATGATCGAAAAGGTGTGTGAGGAAGCCAGAATTTAGCCGCACATTGATAATGGGCTGTACGTTTGTATGTATTTACTAGGCATGTAATGGCGCTTCAATCTATTAAATAAGATCGATTCTAGCAATTATGCAGACTAATGAACAAACAAAAATTGAGACGGGTATTACAATCTGAACAAGCAGAATGGCAGAATTAATTAAAACGTATATGATTATAAAATTCAATCGCAATCATGAACGTGACAATTCATTGAATAACTAGGGGGAGGTGTCAGTGATTTGTATCATGCCTCCTGTTTACCCCACCTCTCCCTTGCTTGGACATATTTTCTTAATGTATCCTAACCCGCTTTCAAATAAAGAACCTACTGTCACTGGTGTGTGTGTACAACGCAATGGTGTGTGTTTTTGCCTCACTTTCCCTCTCTCTGTTCCTCATTGTTAGCATTGTATCTGTATTTGTCTGTGCTTGCATTTCTATTGATATGATTTACTCTGTGGGCGAGCGTAGCTGTTTCTGTAGCTGTTTGTGACAGTGTATGTGTGGAGGGGCCTCCACTCGGACGACTCCGCCTTCAATGAGTACCGACCGCTGTGCATTAATATCAGCACTGGAGAGACACACGACTGCCAACATACTCCCCACCACACCACCCCCTTGTGTGTTGTGCCGACCTTAATAGGTGCTTGCAAACAGCACTTGCCCCAACCGCCTGTATTGCTACGAAGGGAAATGTTGTCTTTTGTGTGTTTGGTGATGCAGAGTGTTGTACGTAGCAGTACATACCTGTTGAACTGGGCTTTATCCCTGGCCATGATATATACAACAGTACTTACGAGGCCTAGGGATACGTGAGGCATCCAGCCTGGATGAGCCCAGGGCAGCCAAAGCCTAAAGCACCAAACAGATAAGGCCAGCCAACCAGGAGGGTTCAGGGTATCCAGGACAGATGAGGGCGAGAGAAGCTGCATGACAGCAAACAGAACCGGGGCAAATGAGACCCAGGGGAAGATGTGGGAGGAGTTGCGGTCCAAATGAATCCCACTGATAATGCCAATTATATTAAGAGGAAACCCTTTTTTTCAGGAGGGTCCTGCTTCATTGGGATGTTTGGTCAATTCTATTAGTTAATGGCTTTTTGTTGGAGGAAACCAGAGCAGACTAAGAATACAGTACCTACTAGACTTACCAAGGGGTGAACATAGCACTGGCTTCTGTCCGCACACTGCAGCCCCATGCCTGCAACACTCGATAAGTCCTGTCTTAACAAGCCTCAATTTTGCGTAGCATCTGGCTTCTCGTGATAGTGGGCATATTCAAGGATGGATATGGCTGTAGACTAAATCAATAAGGAATAGAATCATGCAAATGCAGGACTTTGGATTGCTTTCCACCGTGCTTTTATGCTCGGGAGTTTTTAAATAACGATATGTATTCAAACCGCATACAGAGATCATGTCACAAGCCACATGCCATTGTGAGATAATGACCCAAGGCGAATCCGTTTAGCGGAGGATTTTGTCTTCAAAGTTTTTGGGGAAGCCTCTAATCAATCCAGCCATTTTTTGTAGGGCAGATCAGTAATAGCAATGCAACTTTATCCTAAAGTTTTCCGAATTTGATTGTCTTTACAATGGTTATCGTGCCTTAACATTTCAGACAGACAAAGCTGATACATTCAAGCTTTCATCAACGTGTTATTAATAATCAAAGGTCTGGTATCTGAACCTTGTTACAACTATATTTGATATATTCTGCAGTTCGATGGTTGTGCCATCATTTACTTAATTGTTTATGCCAGTGGTTGCTCATTTATGTCATTAGTGTCTCAATAATAAAGAAATGTCTGGTGTCTGAAACTCATTCCCATTCCTCCCTCACCCTCCCTGATGAACCATATCTGCTTGTCCCCTCCTTCATGGCCTGTTTTGCTGGTTCCCTACCCCTCCCTGGTGATCTGTTCTTACTGGTTACCTCCCACCATCCTGATTATCTATTTCTGTGTGCTCTCTCCCCCCTCCCTGATGTTGAGTTGCAGGTGCATCTCAGGATGTGGCGCTACACATGCTGGAGGCGTGCGGCAATGAGTTGCACACGGCCGTCACCATGTTCCTCGACGGCGGCGCAGGCTCCGTGCCCACGGCCGCTGCCTCCCCGCTGGATGCCGCACACGGTCCCCCCGGCTCGTCGCGCTCGCATTCGCGGTCGCACACGCACGGGAGGGTGCACGCACCGCGCGCGCGACACGCCCTCAGCACCGCCACCGCGGCCACCATCGGCGCCGCGGCTGGCACGTCGCAACAGGCGGAAGACCTCGACGGGTGAGCGGGGCAACCGATTGGGCACGATTATCGGTTGATATCATGCGATGTTGGTTGCTCCATTGGTTGTGCTGTATATTGTTCAAATCTTCGGATGTTTTATTGTTTCGCACACTTGATTGAGTTCTGTAGGTAGCTCCAGCTTTCGGTTGCTCAATTGATTGATTTCTTGATTTCTTGATCGATTGTGCTGTGTGTGTGTGCACTTGCATTTACAGTATATGCTTTTATTTACCCGGTGACCTTCAATTCTGCTCACAGCCAACATCAGTGACAAATATGTGAACCGTTACTCAGCCTCTCCTAGGTGGCCTTGAATTATTACCTGGTGCTTTGTGTCAATATCCGCTTTGGGGACAGAATTTTCCCCAACAGCGTGTATGGATATACAGGTTGTGTGAGTGTGTATACGTGTCCCTGTGCGTCCGTGTGCACCTGTGTATGTAGAGGGGAGGTGCGGGCACCCATCCCACAGAAACAGGAGGTGCTGGTGGATCCAGAACCCATCTTTGGGGGTGAGTCCAGGGCAGTTTCCACTCCTCAGCCAGTTAGGCCACAGGCTCGCTGGAGAAATGCCACCATTGCATTAAGCGTTATGCCCAGCAAGCTGTCTCTGCTTTGGCGGGAAAATTCTAATGAATAATCAGATACCTTTACAAATTCGTTGCTTTACTATTATGGGACTTATTTTGGCATCCTGCTTCTCCCTGACAAAAGTTTCATTGATACGTTATTCCCTCCTGACTCAGGAGTGTAATATTTCACACCTCAAGTAATTTGATGAAAAGTGACAATTTTAGTCAACAATAGATTATTTTTAGCCACATTTTTGCTTTTTGATTTCTTTTGTCTTCCATAATATTTCGTCTTGTTTGTACAATTTTGTTCATTGCATTTACCTAAATGTATCACCATATGATTTGCATAATGCTGCATCGATTCATAATGTAACATTGTATCTAAAACATTCAATTGTGTGTATGAGAATCCATTATTGTCACTTTAAGATCAAATCACTTGGAAAGCAGGGTTAAACCTAAAACAGTTTTTATAGGCTTCTGTGGAGCTACGTTCTGGGCAGCAGAGGGCAGTGCATAAACATACATTGTGTGCAGTACTCTACTTCTGTGCTGCCGCTTAAATGCTCCTCACCTTAAGCCTCCACTGATCCGCATGGTGAAGTAAGGAAAAGGTATCCTCTACAATCTGCACGGCATAGGGGAGGCCCTCATCCAGCAGTAGATTGACAAAAAGGGCTGTATATGTGCACGTGTTACATTTAGACCAATGGAGTTAGCAACATTTTACAAACGAGATGTAAAAAAGCATAAGTATCGATTCAAGGAAGTCTATAAAATCACGGCAATCTAAACGGTTACATTCTGTAAAAATCTATGGGTGGATGGGGGTCAATTGCCACATGCTTACTGTGCCCCTCCACTGGCTGAGAAACCCCCTGCGGTTGTAAAAGCGGCTTCCATCAATGCCAGGGCATGTGACGTTTGTGTCTCCCTCTTTGACGTTTCAGCCCCCAAGCGAAGCCGACTCTCGCAGTCGGTGTTCGACGGATTCCGAGACTTCCAGACCGAAGCGAGTAAGTACAAAAACTCGCTCGCTCTTTCACTCGCTCGCCGTGCTCCATTGCGTTTTCATCGCAGCGTCATAACTGTAACAGCCTCATTACTGTCATGAACAGTAACCGTGGGAGTGTCAGCATCATCATCAGCAACAGCAGTAGTATTGTTGGAATCAGCAGCAGAAGTAGCAAAAGTAGGAGTGTGATGCATCATCATCTGCAGCAGTAGCACTAGAATGGTCACTTCTCAACACAAGAATTGTTAAGTGCTGTGAGGCAGATGTCGGCATGGTGGCAGTTGGTTGTCAGGTGGCATTTGGAAGTTGCTGGGTGCCAGTTAGCAAGTTGAGGTTAGCTGCTGCTTCTTGGCAGTTATCAGGCGGCTCAGTGGTAGAGGAAGCGGCCTGCAATCAGGAAAGTCAAGAGTGGTTGTCCTATGGATAGACTTGCATCTGCCATAGGAATGTGAAATTACACCACTTGCTCAGGGCTGTACATAGCAGATGAGCACTGCCTCAATACTTATTTGAGTAAGAAAATTGAGTTATGGGTTATTGAGTACCAGGTGGCGGTCAGTGGTTGCTCAGTGGCGGATAGAGTAAAATTTGGCAATTGGAAGTTGCGCAGTGGTCATTGCTGTGTCACAGTTGTCAAGTAGCAGATCTTGGTTGCTTGGTGGCAGTTTCTAGGTTGCAGGTAGTGGTTACCAGGAAACGGTTGCAGTTGACGTGTTGCGGTGGGTAACTCACCGTTGCTCTCCACAGTCAGGCAGGAGCAGGAGCTTCTGAACGGTGGAGCAGTCGATAGGAGGTTAAAGACGCTCGCCGACCTCTTCAGACCGCCCATCGACCTCATGCACAAGGGCACCTTCGAGACGGTGAGTTAGGGGCAAAGGGGGGAGTGGCATTGTGAGGAGCCACTTGATGCACAAAAGTCATTGTGTAGTGATGCTGAAATGATTACTAATTTTATGGAAGTCTGTTCGTTACAGTGATTTGGTTTGTATAGAGCTGTTCAGTTAAGTGGCTTCATCTGTTTTCTTAGATGTCCCTCTGTTGAAATGGCTTCATTTGTATAAAATATAGATTTTTTTCATCATGCCAACTTCATGAATTTTCATCGAGATTTATAAATAAAAAATACTATTTTCAAAGAGGTCTGTTCATTCATTTGGGAGTCATTCACTTTCTTACATTGCTAATGCTTTCATCTCAAAGCCTGACAAAGACACTCTTAGGATTGTTATTGTGCATTGCTTAAACAAGTAGGTTAATAAATACATGCATCTCTTCCAGGAGGATCCAGCATTGGGATGTTTGGCCTTTTCCAAATTGTTACTCTCACCGAGCCAGTCAAAGGCACCCTTAGGATTCATAGGGTTAGTCTGCAATTGAGAAGGCTGTGTGGCTCAAAGGTCCAGAGTGCTGAGTTTGCACCATTCAGATCCTGGGTTCGAATCCCAAAAATTGCCTGTGATGAAACCAATTTTTCAAGTGTAGTGAGGTAAAGTTGGCTTGGTCACCATTGGCTGTACAAAATAAAACATCAACGTAGACTTGGTTTTTCCCTTGATTTGGTCAAATTAAATCTCTCGGTGTCAAAGATATCAGTGTTACTGTCATGCAATAAACATTACTCTCAGTGGAAGGGCGAGTGGGAAATTCCTGTCACTTAGTTTGTGAATCGGAAGCAATCTCAGTGGTAACTCTGTGGTGTCCGCTTGTGTGGGCCGACCATGGCTTGCCGTGTTGTAGCCATGGGCCTGCGAGGTGGCCAGGAGATGGCATTGCTGAGTGTTATCGCTCGGTGCGTGTGGTGGGTTTTCTCCAGTTTATCCATTTTCCTCACACGTGAAGCCAAACGCGAATAGAGTTGGCCAAACATCCCAAGGTAGCAGGACCTTCCTGAACAGGAGTCTCCTGACAAGGCGCCAATATCACAAGCAGGATCAAATTGGGGAAGAAGATAATATGTAAAGAGAATTGGGTGGCACTGCTTACATTCTTTACTCCTTGCCCTTTTCCCACCATGAATGCGCACTGGGCTCGGCAGGCAAAGAAGACGGGGCAGTCGCAGCGCAAGTGGCTCATGGTGAATATCCAAAATGTGCAGGACTTCTCCTGCCAGTGTCTCAACCGCGACGTGTGGAGCCACGAGGCAGTCAAGGCTGTCATCCGTGAGCACTTCATCTTCTGGCAGGTGAGGCCACTGCACCCAATCACAGTTGCTCACATGCTGGAGCTCTCTCTCGATAAATGTACACCTCACTCATTCGCTTGCTTAGTCCATTTAAGCCCCTTTCTAGATCTGTCACTTGCATGAATGCTCACCCATTCGTCTTATAGATAGCTCAGTGTCTACCCATTTGGTCACCCAATTTCTCACCCCTCGTTCAGTCACACGACCTATAGCTTGATCACTTGCCTCATGATTTAATCATTCATCTTTCCCTGATCACTCACGTCTTTCATTACTCACTTGCAGCTCTTTCACTTTACACTCATGGTCTCATCTGATTGCTCACACGACCCCCCCCCCCCCCCACCGTTGCTCATTCATATCCTGATTTCTCTCATCTTTGTACACGTGCGCTAACATGCCTTAATGCGTTTGTTTGCATCGCCGGTGTGTTTGCCCGTTCAGGTTTATCACGACAGTGAGGAGGGGCAGAGGTACATGCAGTTCTACAAGCTGACGGAATTCCCATACGTGTCCGTGCTTGACCCTAGGACAGGCAAGCGTGCAATATGCCCACATGCGCAACTATTAACGCATTCACACATGCAAAGACACACCCACCGCTATTAACACATATGCGCACAAACAGCGTTAACATGTACACACGGCGCTTCGGATTGCAAGTGGTGGTGGCGGCATCTTAGAGGAGGCCTTCATCCAGCAGGCGGATTTGACCGTGCCTGCTGATGATGAATGGTTAGCGGTGTGAGCCTGGTGCCGACTGTTTTTGTTTTCCACGTGCGCACACGCAGGGGAGAAACTCCTCGAGTGCCATCGGCTCGACGCCAACTCGCTGCTTGAGCTCGTCACCGAGTTCCTATCCACGTACAACCTCAACGAGGCCTCACCGGGGAAACCAAAGAAACGCTCGCGCACGGTAACTTCGCCACTCTCTCGGCACTGTTCAACCAGGAGACACTCGCTGGGTCTCGAAAGACCCTTCATCAGGAGGGTCCCACTAAGATTTTGCAGCGGGGGCGACGATTGTTATTCGTTTCCCACTAACTTTTCAAATTTGGCATATTTTGGATTGTGATACCAGCACACAATGGCCGACTGTTTTTAGAATAATGTTGCGGGATCTTTTAACTTTTAACGACCGCTGTGAGGCTGGTGGCACGTTTTACGGTTAATACACGCACAGGGGTGCAATTGGCGGACTGTACCTCAGTAAATCTGGCTCGGATGATCAAATCGGTGATGGGACAACCTGCGATGGGCAAGTTTTTGGTGTATATTAAGTAACGATGGTGATGAGAACATGGCACGGATGTCTTCAATACGATGGTTGTTAAATAAAAACAAATTTCATCGAATGTTGATTCCAGAAGTCATGGAATCCACATTTGTTTAAGGGTCTTCCAAAAGCCCCCAATATTTGCAGGACACGTTATATATCTGCCCACGGTACATCGAAGATGCTCTGGAAACCACAAGGAGGAAATGTCATTGTTTGGATCGTTGCACTAAACTTGATTATTGTTGCTTACGTAAATAGCACCGTTGTTCTCCTGTGTCACCCAGTAAAAACTGCCAAGTCTAGACCAGGCATTATTAATTATGCTTCTCTCTGGGTTACGCGTGTCTGCTTCATTGTGATATCCCCACAACACGCACACACCACGTGACGCCCTCCCATCTGGGCCTGTTCTCCCAGGCGAGCCTGATAGATGCTAGCGAGGACAGTCAGCTGGAAGCCGCTATTCAGGCTTCACTTCAGGTGAGTGTGGGCCTCGCAGCGATGGCTGTCGCATGGTTTAATCGCGCATGCTTCTTTACATTGGGGGCTGAACAAGAATCGTTTGGGTTGTCAGTCAATTTGGCGGGTTTGCTTCCGCAACTCCCATTAGCACTGGATGGCTTAGTACGGTGCGAAAGAAGTTCAATGTACATGTATACCAAGTTATGTTGTGTCTTTAAGTAATGCCGTGCCATTCAGAGTTTTGCCGAATTGCCTTGTGTGGTACGTAAAATTGTCATGTCACGCCGAATCACATCATGCCTCGTCAAGTCGCACTAGTGTGTAATGCCAAGTTATGTCTTGCTCTGCCTTGTCGAGCGATGCTCTGTTTTCCCGAGTTATTCCATATCTTACCGAGTTTTGCCTTGCGTCTTTGGCAAGTCATGCTGTATCTTTCTAATTCTTGCCGTGTCTCACGAAGTCATGTCTCACCAAGCCGAGTCATGCTTTGTGTTACCGAGCCATGCTCTATCTTTCTAATTCATGTCGTGTCTTGCGGAGTCATGTCTCACCAAGCCTTGACGAGCGCTGCTGTGTTTTGCCAAGTTGCAACGATCTGTGCTGATTCGGCCGTGCCGGTCCCCCCAGGAGACGCACTACGGGCCGTCGGCCGCCCCCTCTCCTCCCCACTCGTCAGGGGCCCCCTCTGACGATGACAACGACGACGATGACGACGAGATCGACAATGAGGTGCCGTGTGCGCGAGGTGGCGTGTGTGTTTGTACGTGTGTGTGTACGTGTTGATACTTACACGTGCATGTGTGTTTGAGTGTCTTCATACCTACATGTGACTGAGCAATTTGTGCGTTTGTATTTGCACTTCAAAGGTACATGTTTATGTATGTGCTGTCTGTGTGTGCTTGTGTATTTGCTGCTTGTGCGTACATACGTGTGTGTGTGCACTGTGTGTGCGTACGTACCGCTTGTGCCTGCATGTGTGTGTGTCCTCCCTATGTCTGCATACCTGTGTGTTTATGTGCACTGTGTGCATTCTGTGTGCTGTGTGTGCATACGCGCGTGTGCTGCCTGTGTGCGTGTGCTGCCTGTGTGCATGCCTGCGTGCGTGCGTGCGCCTCCACACTGCGTGCGTGTGTATGCACCGTCTGCGCATAAGTGCAGGTGGCGGAGGGCAGTGCGGGCGGTGCAGCTCGGACTTGTGAAGACGACGACGACGACGATGAAGACGTCTGCGTCGACTCCACCGAGGGCTCCAACCCGGCGTGGGAGGACAGCGGCAGCGCGGGGGGAGAGGAGAAAGGTGATGGAGCGTGGGGGTGCTCTCTTTATTCGATCAAGAAGCCAGCGCCAGACAGCACACATGCTCGCACACAAATAAGTTATGGGATAGCGAAATATATTTTTGAAAATCTCAACAAACTCGCAATTATTATGACTGACATGTAGCGGAGTAAAAATGTACGTGTACAGGTGCAGCCCTTTGTTAAACCACCACTCGATAAGGGCCTCCGCACGCCATGCGAGTTGTGGGGGTTATTAGATCTCATTTCAACTCCACGGCTCAGTAGGTTGGTGCAAATCACCCCCGTGACCCGCATGGCATGGGTAGGATTTTATGCAGCAGTGGATTGACAAAAATTCTGTACATGGTCATGAAATTGTCTCAGGCTTCAGGTCTCCTGGGCTCATGGGTGTGTGTATGTGCTTGCCGTCCCTGTCGGTGTGTACGTGTTTTATATTTATAGAGCGCCTTCACTCAAGGTGCTTAACGCGGTTTAAAAAAACGGGGTCGTGCAAGGTTTGAGGAATGAGTGAACACGATCGAGCGTATTTAGGGGTCACAAAAGGTAAGGGGAGGGATGGGAAGTAGTGGAGGTGCGAAGGGAGGGAAGAGAATGGGAAACAGAGAAGTGTTAAGTTTTAAGAGAGGAATGGAAGGCGGTTAAGGAAGGGGACTGCTCAATGTACGTGTGTACGTGTCTGTCTCTGTCCTCAGGCCCCCAGTCTCGGCTCATGGTTCGATTCCCAGATGGGAAACGCGAGCAGGTGGTGATGGCGGCAGAGGCAACGTTAACGGTGAGTGAGCACAAAGCACGCACGCACCCTAGAGCACACGACAGGTACACAGAGTTCACGCGAATGGCGCACGCACACTCGAATACACACGCACACTCGAATACACACGCACACCCTGCACATAGACACTCTCGCAACATGCACACACCCACATATAGATTCATACGTATGTGCACCACAAAACACACCAACGAATATTGTACACACACACACCACATCTCCACTCTTATCTTTAAAACGTGCACAGCATATGCATGCACCACATAGAACCATACTCGTACACCACGAAAACATAAATATACACACGTGTACCACCATCACATTTCGCACACACGAATACAAATGTGTACAAACATTAAAAGTATACTGACATCGCACACAAACGAAATATGTGCATGTGATGAAGATTCAGCTGTTACTACTTTTGTAAGCCCCACACTCACATACTCACACACTTACACACTCACACACTCACACACTTACACACTCACACACTTACACATGCATAAATCACATACACTAGCAACACTCGTGCACACGCATGCAAATACATGTACACATCTACCTACATATGTGTACATATGCACTCTCTCTCACAAAGACAAAGATCCCCAGACAATGTGTATGTAGCCTTATAGGCTGTTGGGGAAAGTGCTCTTAATGAGCACCAACTACACGTACACTCTTTGGTACGCACACGGATCTCGCGTAGATTCTAACGACAATCCAATCCTCTCCTGCACCGCCCCTCCTCCTGCACCACCCCTCCTCCTGCACCACCAGGCCCTGCTGAGCCTAGTTGAGGCACGCGGTTTCCCAGGCGACCGCTTTGAGCTCGTCACCAACTTCCCACGGCGGAAGCTGGCGGCACTGGGAGGAGACACGACGCTACGGCAGGCAGGCCTCTTCCCCCACGAGACCGTCTTCGTGCAGGAGAGGGTGTGATGGCCTCCATCACGCCTCGTCCTCACCTCATTTCCCATCGTCCCGTCGTTTTTTCCGTTCTCCACAGCGTCCGCCTCGTGGGCTCGGCTCGGTTGTACGATGGAAAAGAAGTATGATGCGTATGCCACCCGTACCATGCCGCCGCTCCCCCGCCCCGTGCTGGCTCGGCTCGGTTGTATGATGGATAGAAATACTCGGCGAGCCGAGGCAACGCAGGGCCCTCGTGGTACGGGTGATTTTTCACCGACTGTTTGCCATGCTGAGCCAGAACTGAATCATCGTACTACGCTAGCCTTGTGACATTGAATCTGGCTTGGGGCAAAACAGGGCCAGCGGTGGTGGGGCTAATGACGCGTTGATTGCGTGGGATGTGAGTCCTGGTCAACTGCGCGACAGCAACGGCACGGCTCACCATCTACAGTGGAAAACAACCAGGGAACCTCCTGAGCCGAGCTGGCTTGGCAGGGTTGTATTGTCGAAAAGAGGTGTGAGAGACAGGGTATGGCTGGCAACACCTCTTTTGCTTCGTTGAATTCCAAGGCAGAGCTGGGGTCGATTGTAATCGGGGCTTCATATTAGCTGGGTCTGTTTGGTTACCAGCCATGTGCCACCTACTCCACTGTCTACCAGCAACCCGGAAAATATTGACATTTTAAGTCCTGATCATAATTATGATTACAGCTCTATTGTTTGGCAAGTTTCCAATTACAATCGACCCTCTCCGATTAGCTCGGTTGGCTACGTACGGTGTGAAAGAAGTTCTACATACGTCCAAGGTAATCGGGGTGAGGGAAGACCCAGATAACACAGGTAATGCTGAACATGTAAATGCAGCTTCAGAAACGTTTTGAGTGTTTTTTCTGCCTCGCAAAGTAATCGGTTTACTTGTTTGTGATGTATTTTGGTCACGAGGCCACTCGGCTCATCCTTAGTGAGGAGCAGATAATTCAACCAGCAAGCATAAACATTATTTATTTTTCCACAAGCACGTTAAATCGACAGTTCGCCCACTTATGATAGACAGTAGTGAATGCAATTCGTTACCAATTGCCACAATTGCAATTGTTATCGACCCTAGTTGTGATCCAGTGTCAATGTCATCGCATCTTTCTACCCAAACGAGCGTGAGACACACTCATCTCTTTAGGCTGTTCTTAGACATGGGTGGAAATTACACATTCTCATGGTGGGGCCAAGTTCATCCACGGGATAATCACTCGCGGTGTAACAATGTTGCTTAAAAGTGATTGTGATGCTCACGATATTCGTGCCGCATGATGTTATAAGAAGCACAATGACCGTACGTTGGGTTCATTGGCGGGACAGCTGCAGCCATCCAGAAGTACTGAACATCACGATATGTATTAAAAAAAAGATGATCAAATCATGACCCCTGGCATCATACCAAATCATTGAACCGCGAGACGGGGACAATTCATTACCGAGCTAATAATGTTTTAGCTTCCACCGAGTTGCCCTTATTCCAGGGTAAGAAGTTTCAAAGTCGGAGCGTGTGCCTGCTCATTGGCCAACTCTCATGGGGTGGCTTGCAGGGGCTCATAATGGCTGTGTCGGAGACACTGAGCTGACACCGTTGAGATCCTGGCTTTTATTATGGATTTTAGCTGCCCAGCCATGATTAATCCACATTCTGAAGTGTATTGAGTTGATGACCTTAGTTCGATCACCGATGACCCGCACACGAAACACGTCACGGGAAATGTATTCCAGTGATGGACAGTTGAATAAAATCTTAGTTTGGCTGCCAAGCAACCAACCACCATCTCTACCGCAGTGCATGTGCGCTAGTGCGGTGCCCCGAGTGTGCTTTGCAAAGCGACGAGCCCTCGATGGCGGGCACGGGAAGGTGCACCATCATGCTGTGTGCGGCTGTAGAGGCATTTGAAGGGATCTCGGTGGTAGTGAGATGATGTCCTTTTCCACACGCCATTCTTTTCACAGGTGATGTTACAATGCTCCCCGAAGGAATATTGTTTTGCCTAATAATAGCACGACTATTGGAATATAGATTTTGATTGCCATTATTGCGTATACAATGGCGATGAAAAGAATACATCGGAAATGTGATTTTCTCAGTAACGAGGCTTCGCACCCAATGTTGGTGGACACCCCATGAGATCTCGGCTTGGCTGAGCCTCCGTAAATGGAGTGAATGCAGGCGCGTGTGTGTTTCGGGTTGTGCTTGTCTTGAGAACGACTGTAATTGATGCCTTTCCGTGACCAATCTATCCGCTCGGCGTTCTTGCATTTTGAACGCTGCATGCACAAAGATTCTGCCGTTTTATATTTGAGGCGTTTTCTTTTTCATCTTGGGAGTTTTTGTTTTCTGACCAGAACGATCGATGTTTTATTTTATTTGCGCACGTGTTTGCGTCGTACGGGACCAGACGTCCGGGTTGCGTTTCCCCGTCTGACCGCGTGTTTCAGTTCCCACGTGAAGGGTTGGTGTTATAACTGCGTGGGTCCATCCTCTTTTCACCCACTCCCCTCTCTGCCCCCCCCCTCCCTTCCTAATCCACCTCTCATTTATTATCCCCCCACTTTTGCTTGGGGTTTCAAGAGAGGCTATTTTTTAAGTAGAATATATGATGTTAACCTAGTTTAGTCCCACCAGTTTGACCTAAACAGGTTTTGACAAACCAGGTAAAAAAAAAATTCTCAATGATAATTACAGTAGATTCTCGATTATCTGCGTGCAGATTATCCGATTTGCGGATTAACCTCGCGCCTGAGATTTTGACAACAATTAATAACCGAACGAATATGTGCTTCGGTTCATCCGAAAACCACGTCATTACCTCTACAGTACAGTAGTTGCGTATCTTTACAACCGTGCATGGAGTTTAATTGATTTTGATTGTCGTAGTTCTGCTATCCACTTAGTGGGTGGAGTCTTCTGCGCAGGAGCAATAAACTATCACTCAACACGCGCGTCGATCGGTCGATCGTTGGTTGTTGCCATAGAGATCCGCGAGCATTGTATAATTTTTGATTATCCGAAATTTTTAATTAACCGCGGCCGTCATCCCCATCATTCGCGCGGATAATCGAGAGGCTACTGTGTATCCCTCCCCAAAGAGGCAGTGGTGTTTTAAACGTTTTGAGTAAAGTGGTAGTGTTAACCCATTGATCGCATGAACCCACGTGAAAAAGAGCTGGTGTGTAGGCCTGTGGACGATTCACTGTCAACTTTCACAATTCGATTCAGCAATTTGTTGTCCAGTTCTGCCTCTATACTGTGTCTCTTCTGTCTCCTCTATGCTGTCTTCTGTATTGTCCGTCTCATCTGTATGTAGGTCCCTTGTTTTTAGCTTTCATCTGCCTCATGCCATTATCCTGAAAGTATAATTTGCATACAACTTGCGTATACGTTGCATACATCATCAGTAATTGATTGGAATACATGGTTCAGTGTATGTATTGTGTCTCGTGAGAGTCGATGTTGATTGATGAATTATGCATCTGATAACGTGAGGCCACGCGTCCGTGACAAAAGGGAGATCTGGTGGGTAAGAGGCCGTTTTTGCACCTAACTCTGTGGAGTCAGACATTCGATGTTTTGATGACGGAGGTCACCATGCGTTGATATTTTACTTCTCTATTGCCAATTATTGCCATCCATCCACCACGCTGCGCGATTTTGCGTTTACATGCGAATTGTTACATGCATTGTATTTTTTAGGCTGTTCCAGTTTTTAATATCCAAGGGGACCCACTGGCTGCCACCACAGTTGGCGATGCGGGCCATGGAAACAGTAACCCCTGCCCCCTGCGTATCGTGTGTTGAGACACGCCGCTGTCCTGCGATGTGCTGTTACCATCGATCACAATCGGGTTTGGGATCCAAGATGACGTTTGGTAATAGGGATGGAGGGGGGGCAGAATTATTAAATGGCAGCATCAGTGTTTCCTACTGCGTTGCCAAACGGACACGGGACTGAGGGAAAGCCCCTCCTCGCGCAGGTGTGAGATTGGGATATTCACTTGGACTCGCTTTGCCCCAACCATATCCCAAACTATATAACCTTAGACATAAAATTGGAGCTAATGTTAGCCCTTATGCGAACACTTCCAAATTCCATCGCTCGAGCCCTTTTGCTAATAGTAGTCCCAAACCAGAGGTCGGCAATCTGTGGCTCTAAGCACTGCTTCGTGACGTTATTCATTAAGAACTGTCTCGGATTCACATGCATTGGCAGCTCTTAAAATATTCAGGTTTTTTTTTACTGAAATCGAATCAAATGGCTCGTTATTTTGGTTGCCGACCCCTGCCCTTAACCATAACCCTAACATGCCAAACCATATCCCGAACTTTATTCAAAACCTTAACCCTCGCACCAACTCTTACGATTGGTGTGGTTGTGCACGCCTGTGAAACAGGGCTTTGGAGGCAAGGGTTGTGGATCACAGAGTTATGAAACTCCCAAACCCGCTGGGCTGCGAGGTGGCCAGGAGATGGCAGCACAGCAAGTGGGTTCATGAACCAATTTATGGGACCATTGAGTGTTATGTCCCCTCTTATGTTTTGTGGGTTTTCTCTGGGCACTCAAATTTCTTCCACATCAAGCAAACCACTCCATAAAAAATGAATTGACCAAACTATGTAAAAACATAACTACGATGATTACAACTCGAACCCTACCCTTAATATGAACTCTTACTATCCCCTAACCGCCCTATCAGTAATAATTTCCATTACCCAACACTAACAGTATAACCAGGGGTGTAATGATGCATTGAATCAGTCGTGAAATGGAATCGACGTCTATTCGTATAGGTCGTATGTAATGGGTGCAGCTTGTCCATGCACCCGCTACTTTCATCCTGCCCCATAAGTATGTTGAACTTCTTTCGCGCCGTACGTGGCCAACAGTGCTAATCGGAGGTGCCCCATCATCACGTTGCTGCCCCATAATCACGTTTCGCCAACTCGAGCTCGGGGGTGCGGATCTCGGCAGGCCGTAGGTAGGAACCGACCTGCGACTTCATTTCACACGGCCCTCGGCCCTCATCATGAGCCATTGTAAGCATCTTAGCTGTGCTAATCGGGTACTAGAGGCGAACATCTTTGACCTGCCGACACTTCTGTTTTTAACTATATCACGCTCAGCCTCTTGCAGTCACAGACGTGTCCGAGGTGTGTGTGTGTGCGTGCGTGTTAATGTGTGGTTGCCCACCAGAGGTATTGAAGGACCTCGCAAAGGAAAAGATTGCTCAACCCTGCTCTAAACCTGATGCGCCTACTCCCAATCTCGAGCCCCATCTCTAAACCTGGCCCTAAGCCCATATGTAGCCCCCCCGTGTTCTCTTGTGACTGCGTTCTGGGCACGTGTAAATGCACGCGCGTTCCACATGTACATACACACACGCGCGGCCCCGTGTCACCTTGAATGTGGCGTGTAGTTTAAACTGTACATATGGTTAAGTGACATTTGATGAGATGATATGATAATAAAATGCTTTGTTTTCAGATGACATGTCCTTGGATATTATTTGTTTAATCGTCGGTCGTTAATCTTGAGCCTCTTAATGATATCTCGACCGGAATGCGCCCTCTCTCGACAGATCTCAGAACCTGCGTAGTGCTTGGATGGGCGACTACCATGCGGAATAGGTTGTTGTGCAGGCTGTCGTGGGGCGACGTGATGGGCAACAGCGGGCGGTGCAATACGATGTTGTACTCTACTGACGTGCTCCCAACGGCTATGCTACCCGCATGGGAAAAGCTAAAGGCAGATGGCGATAAGACTTAAGATGTTGCCCTTGAAGGATGTGTCACCTTTGTAACAAGCAGAGAGATTTCAATATCTTGGAAAAGCCACCCAGTAGTGGATAGAGAATGACTGATGATGAAAAAGCATAACACCTAAAGCCAGATGGTGGTGATGCTGAGAATGTGGTGGATATAATAGCTTAGCTGAGACGCGAGGGGAAATGTACCACGAGTTGATGTGGGCCAGTCACGTGTGGCTTCATATGGCTGCCGCTGTGACCATCCAGAGCGCTGGGATGTTTGAACGATTCCGCTGGAATATTTGAAATAATTCTTGACAGTCGGAGCGGTTTCAACTTTATGGGTCTCATCAGCAGTCAGACTCGTTCAACATTCTGATGGATAATTAATGAGATCTTATTGTCTCAAGCACTCCTTGTTAAATGAGACCCCATTCACCGCAAAATGCAACACTAATGTTTTTTTTTAAATATATAGCCTCATTCATGCCAATATCTTGCAATCACTGAGGAACCACCACACACAAGCGGGGAGGCAGTCGTCAGGCGATGAGTCGGTGCCAATAATTGCCCGAGCTTTGCAATCCTCTTAAGATTATATTTTCAGCCAATAATGAGTGTTTATGCATGTCCGAGGAATCGGGAGCCACCGGATAAAAGCCCAAGTCTGCCATGGGACAACACTCCATTCCCATTCCATAGGGACAGATGGAGATCAGTCCTCACTGCTGTAGTGGCTTCTGGCGAAGCCAGGGTATGGCTCATCGACTTCGACTGCAAGGGAGTTTCACGACATCTGTGTGTGATCCACCAACCTTGCTGCCTCGACAGCACTGGGTCACAAGCGCGCGATGACCAAGGGTTGGGGCCCCACTTGGCAGCCAGCATGATGTTTTAAGCAGTATATAGGGGTCGTCCATAAATGACGTCACGCGATTTTGGAGGATTTTTGACCCCCCCCCCCTTCGTCACACGGCGTCACAAAAAGTCAGACCACCCCCCTCTCAAATATGACGTCACAAAGCTCTGCCCCCCCCCCCCTCCAAATAAAACATGCTTCAAATCGCTTTAAACTCTTGTCATTGTAGTGCGTATTTCATGTGGCGCTGCACTCTGATGTTGTAGGAGAAAACATTTATAAAAAAATCTTTAAGTAAGTAGAACGTGTTTATATTTATTTGAAGTTGCGCATTTTCATGTGACGTCACATTTCTCACCCCCCCCCCCCCCATCGTCACACATAGTCACAAATGTCTGACCCCCCCCAGGTGCGTGACGTCATTTATGGACGGCCCCATATAAAAAAAGTATTTAAAACGGAGCGCCGCTATAGCGCTAAATGTTTCAGTTTCAGTTCATTTGGTATAACCCTGTGAGCCATTCGGCTCTTGAATCGGGTGCAACCGCAACAAGCAAAAACATGAACAAGAAAACATCTTAAAGAGACTATGTGACTATGTGCAAACAGAAAAATCCAGGAAAAAATTGCAAAGTCTTCCAGAAAAAGCAACAAAAAATTGTTCAAGACCGTGGGCGTAATGCTGTGAGTCGGCAAGAGGAGCCGAGATATATGGACTGGGTGCCGCCGTGCGAGACAAATCACAATCTTGGAGCCAAACAGATTGTGATACAAACAACTCTTCCCATGGCAGTGACGCCACTGTCATGGTCTTAGTAAAACAAAAGCACGATTCCGTTTGTCTCCATATACAGACAACACGTGACATACATCATACCCGTTTGTCCATCAGCCTCAGGTGTGTCGACCGTGAATAAGGACCAGTACCAGACACGTCGGATATCATATTTAGGGGCCGTCCATAAATGACGTCACGCACCTAGGGGGGGTGATCAGACATTTGTGACGATGTGTGACGAGGGGAGGGGGGGGGTTTGAGAAATGTGACGTCACATAAATATAGACAACACGTTCTACTTAATTAAATATACGTTTTTATAAATGTTTTCTCCGACAACATCAGAGTGCAGCTCCACATTAAATACGCACTAAAATGACAATAGTTTAAAGCGATTTGAAGCATGTTTTATTTTTGGGGGGGAGGGGCAGAGCTTTGTGACGTCATATTTGAGGGGGGGGGGTCTGACGTCTTGTGACGAAGGGTGGGGGGGTCAAAATCGTCCAAAATCGCGTGACGTCATTTATGGACGGCCCCTTAACATTTCAAGGCCACTCAGTGCAATTGAAAAATGTGTTGAGCAATTGTTTTAGAAACGTGCTTTTAGAGTACAGTAAGTATAACATTTGGCCGCTTTACATGTCCACATGATGAGCCACTTCGTTGAGTTGTATCATTGGTGATTGCCAGGTCGCTTCTGAAAAAGTAATATTTAAAACAAATTTTTTTAAAACACGCTTTCATGAAATGTACTAGTAATGGAAGAACTCCACGACTCCAGGAAGTGGCCCCGAAGCTTGCTATAACGTAAGGGTCCGTGGCCAATTACAGCCAACGTCAGTTGAACGTGGACAATTAGACCCAAGCCGAAACATAACATATAAAAAATAATGTTTTGAAATATGTTTATTCTCATTTTTTATGATATAACATAGTATTGTCATCAGTTTGACATAAGTATACCAAGTTTGCAGTCGATACCACATTGGGAAGTGGGTTACAATTGAGCTCCAAGATTTGAGGATACGACAACAACAGAGTTAAATAAAAGCGTGTAAATAGGTGCATTTCAAAATGTCACTGTCCTGGTCACAAAAGCAAAGTTTGTGGGGGCAATAACAGCCAATTTCTATACTTTGTAGGCATAAGCAATGAGAAAATAACACTTACTACCCTAGGAACAAAATAAATTTTGTTACACAGTGATGGAGTGGATTATGAACATACATTGCCTTTGTGTGCTGGTCACAAAAGCAAAGTTTATGTGGGTCGAGTATATATTTTGTTGTCTTTTCTTGGATTTTCTGTTCATGTTTTTTGTTTGTTGCGGTTGCACCCGATTCAAAAAGCCGAATGGCCCACAGGGCTGTTACCAAATAAATGAACACTAAAACCGAAATGAAAATAAATATTTAAGTTGTCGAGATTGGGCGCCCTGTTAAGTGGCTGCGTGCCGGTGCGTTGGTATGAGCGGCTCGTTGGTCTAGGGGTATGATTCTCGCTTAGGGTGCGAGAGGTCCCGGGTTCAAATCCCGGACGAGCCCAGCTTTTTATTTTATCTTACCGACCAACTTCAACCGTGTTCCACCCGCAGTGTTCTTTCCACACGTTGCTGTGGTTATATATTTTTATTTTTTGTGCAACCTAAACAACATTAACAACATTGACTTGTGTAGATGCAGCACTGCATTCAAATTGTTAAGATTTTTTGTTGTTGCGGTTGATGGTGGCGGGGGGGGGGCTCTCGCGTGCCGCCACGTGGCCAATGCGCGCCAGTGACTCGCAAAGCGAAGTGACAAAGCAAATCATCCCTCTCGATTTGAAGATTTCGTGATAGCAAGGATTCATATTCTTAGGTTTTTTCGGTAAAGTCACGTAGGTAAAAAAATTAAAATTAATAAAAGTAAAATAAAATTAAAATCATCCCTCGCCGTCGACCACGACCACTCAACTCCACTGCTGGATGACGGCCTCCCTTCCCAGAGCCATCGACGCAACGCGCCAACCTAACACGATGCACCGATGTGTCATTATACTCCATCAAGTCGCCGCACGCCGAGTAGATGTCTCGAGCGGTTACACACAAGGCTGTGTCTTGGCTGTCCCTTACACTAAAACATTTTTAAATGTTATTTTACCAGGTAAGGCGCACGGAGCTGTTTTTCTAGAAGCGAAAGACTCATCATCACGTGGAAATGTAGCGCAGATAAAATACTCTCAACGCGTGTTGTGTCTAAATGTGGAGGGAGAAACCGGAGGGCCGGGAGAAAAATCCACGACATCACGGGGAGAGAGAGAACGTGCACATTCCAAATACACAGCAGCAGCAGGCGTCAGAGTCGGGATCGAACCCCAGGCGAGGTAGTTAATATCGGCGCCTCGAGTTCCCACACGTTACCCCGCCACACGCGGACCTGCCAATGGGACGGACACATTGCGGCTTTACCCATCACTGAGTGGACTGAAGCGGGAGGTGACGGCAAGAACAACAGCAGCAGCACGTGCTCGATGTTTCAATAGCCACGTCGGAAAACGTCAATGCCAACCGGCGACTTTCGGCAGGTTGCCCGAGCATGTTTTATTGATATTCTTAGGTTTTTTCGGTAAAGTCACGTAGGTAAAACATTAAAATTAATGAAAGTAAAATAAAATATTTTATTTTACTTTCATTAATTTACCGAAAAAACCTAAGAATATGAATCCTTGCAGTCACGAAAGCTTCAAATCTAGAATTCATGTTTTATTGATTTATCAATCGGTGATTAAAAAAAATAAAATAAAAATCTGGGCTCGTCCGGGATTTGAACCCGGGACCTCTCGCACCCAAAGCGAGAATCATACCCCTAGACCAACGAGCCGCTCATGCAGGAGCTTGGCATAATTCACCACTTAACCTCACCAAGCAGGGCACCGTGTTCAGATCGCGTTGCTTATAATCGAGTAGTCGAGTCGTAATGCGACGCGGTGATGTGGCATCAACTTTAAATTATTGTTCTCTTTGCTTCGTCCGGTTTTCTCTTGAGCCCGACTCCTCTCTTCGTCATTGGCCTGGAGCGTGACGTCACGCACGAAGAACCAGATGTCCGATGACGTCACAACA